AGATGTGTTCTTCTTTCCTAGGCGTCCGCGCTCTCGTCAGCATCCTGCAGAGCTGGTACACGCTCTTCACCCCCACGGAAGCCACTAGCATTGTCGCTGCCGCCGCCACGTCTCACAGCACCGTGCTGCGGCTCAACCTGGACTACGCGCAGCGGGAGGAGCTGGCCAGCTGCGCTCGGACCTTGGCTCTGCAGTGCGCCATGAAGGACCCGCAGAACTGCGCCCTGTCTGCGCTCACCTTGTGCGAGAAGGACCACACGGCCTTCGAGACGGCTTACCAGATCGCCGTGGACGCCGCCTCCGGGGGCATGACCTACTCGCAGCTCTTCACCATCGCCCGCTACATGGAGCACCGCGGCTACCCGCTCCGAGCTTTCAAACTATGTTCCCTGGCCATGAGCCACCTCAACCTGGCGTACAACCAGGACACCCCCCCCGCCATTAATGACGTCCTGTGGGCCTGCTCTCTCAGCCATTCGTTGGGCAAAAACGAACTGGCGGCGCTGGTGCCCCTAGTGGTGAAAAGCGTGCACTGCGCCACCGTACTGTCGGACATCCTCCGGCGCTGCACGCTCACCGCGCCGGGATTGGCTGGGATCCCCGGCAGGCGGAACTCCGGGAAACTGATGTCAACGGACAAGCCGCCGCTGCGCCAGCTGCTGGACGCGGCAGTGGGCGCCTACATCAACACCACCCCTTCCCGCCTCACGCACATCAGCCCCAGACACTACGGAGAGTTCATCGAGTTCCTCAGCAAAGCCCGGGAGACCTTTCTGCTGGGACAGGACGGCCTGCTGCAGTTCGCTCAGTTCATAGACAACTTGAAACAGATTTACAAAGGAAAGAAGAAGCTGATGATGTTGGTCAGGGAGCGCTTTGGCTGACGTTCCTCCCCTCCCCCCCACCACGGCTAAGTCTCTCTGAGCTTCTAACACACGCCGGGGCTCCCCGATAATCCCAGGGGCCCGAGCCAGGACTGTATGCAGGAGCTTTGTCATTCCACCTGCCAAACATTTCACGTATTTCTTTGGGAGGGGGAGGAGGAGGAGGAAGGCGCATTGAAAATACAACCACCTCCATGTGCACAGAGCCAGCCAGGGGTGACGGGGCTGCAGCCATCTTGCCCTACTCCATGTTTGCAGTACCAGATGTGTTTCCTGTCAGCTCCAGCAGGGGGCAGCGCACCTGTGTATGAAAGTGACACTAACCGCCGAAATTAAATCTTCCAAAGGAATCGCGCCAGACCTCAGAAAATGGTGATTGGTCTGCAGACGGGCCGGGCCTCAGGACTACAGATCTCAGAACCCTCTGCAGCTCTATCACCGGGTATGTCCAGAATCTTAAAGTGACACTAACCGCCGAAATTAAATGTGTTTCCTGTCCGCTCCAGCAGGGGGCAGCGCACTGGTCTCTGTGTATTAAAGTGACACTAACCGCCGAAATTAAATCTTCCAAATCCCTCCGAGTCCCCGAACTCTGAACTACAATGTATCTTATTTGTGTGTCACGCGGCTGTACATCCTCCAATCATCTCTGACACTGTCCTTCCTTCCAGAGGGTGGCTACGTCTGTTCCCCATGGTCCCTGTGTGTGTAGTAAAGTAGTCACCGCTCCAAGCTCGCTCCTGTGATGGATTCCAGTTCAGTTTACGGATTTGTATTGAGATTGTAGTCCATCCCGGGGGGCGGAGCTTGGAGCGGTGACTACTTTACAACACACACAGGGACCATGGGGAACAGACGTAGCCCCCCCTCCAGAAGGAAGGACAGTGTCAGAGATGATTGGAGGATCTCCAGCCGAGTGATACACAAATAAGATACATTGTTGCTCAGAGCTCGGGGACTCGGAGGGATTTGGAAGATTTAATTTCGGCGGTTAGTGTCACTTTAATACACAGAGACCAGTGCGCTGCCCCTGCTGGAGCGGACAGGAAACACATTTAATTTCGGCAGTTGGTGTCACTTTAAGATTCTGGACATACCCGGTGATAGAGCTGCAGAGGGTTCTGAGATCTGTAGTCCTGAGGCCCGGCCCGTCTGCAGACCAACCACCATTTTCTGAAGTCTGGCGCGATTCCTTCTTATTGAAGAACCTGAACAGCGGCTGTCCTTGGGGGCCGGATCCGGGCCGGGGAATCACGAGGTACACGCCAATCATTGTCCAGGGTAAGGCTAGGTTCACACCCGCGGCGTGCGTCCCGGGATCGCGCGGCCCTGTACAATGCAGGCAGCGATTGGCGCGCGGCCCCATTGATGACGCGCGGCTGTTTTAGGTGTTTGGAAGCGCGGGCAGAATCGCGGCGGGAAACCGCGCATTCCGCCCGGCGTGACTGGGGTGCCGTTAGAAAAAAATGGCAACCCGCGGGCGCGATCGATGCACACCTCGGTGACTCCGTGACCGCGCAGAATCGTGCCGCGCTGCGAGGTGTGAACCTAGCCTGAATCTAAAGCCAAACGCCTGCGTGACTAGACTCTGACGGAAGCGACCTCACCTATGCGCTGTGCTGGCATGCAGCTGATAAGGAGAGCTGCTTCCGTCGGAGGCTAGTCAGCTGACTTCTGGGCCGACCTCTATGACCCGTTTATCAGAATGTTCCTCTTGTCTGCAGGGCCAGGAGCCGACTGCGCCCATTGAAAACTGCCCCCGTTACCCCCCGTGTGTGGTGCAGGCCCAGGAGCATTGCCCCCTAGAGGTGCTCTGGGAATGGGGGAGGGGCCGATGTAGGTCTATTCCGGGGGCTTCCTCTGAATCATTGTAATATTTGTGATTGTCATAGTCCAGACTCGGAGCCGACACACAACCTCGGGGCCCCTCCTAGGCGCAGGTGCCGGGGTGATTTTGGGCTCTCTGGATGTGTTCAGTCCTGACATTGGCCCTTGCAAAATTTCCAAACCCGGCCGATCAATTTCTGGCCCTCAAGGTCTGCCACTGTGTATTAGGATGGGGGTGGGGTAACAGCCCCTCTGTACTGCCCTTGTTGCCCCAGCGTTGCAGCAC